TACGCATATCAAAGTAGGTACCTTTCGCATTATTAGTAGATAGTGTGGCATCTTTTCTGGCACAAAACTCTTCATCCTCCTCCCCTTCCTCTTCTTGATGACCCTTTCCAGATTTCATTCTTGGCTGAATTTCTTCAAACGGGTTATCTGCATAGAATCAAGAACTCAAAACTCCCAATAATTGAATCGACAGAGTAGAACAAAAAGCTTTGCCGTACAACCAAAAATCTACCTGATTATTAAAGGGATGAGAAAATAAAGTAGGAAAAGCTAAAAAGATTACAGCTTTGTAGCTAAAAATTGGAGTTTCGTGGAAATTGAAATCAGATTTTCGGGGTCACACAATAGCAAATAGCAGCAAACTGCTATACCGGCCTTTTGGTCTGGCAATGGACATTAAAAAATAAATAAATAAAAATTGCTACTTTACATTAAAAAAAAAAAAGTGTAATAATATGACGTGGAGGAAAAAAAAAGTTGATTGTATTTTATACTGATAAATAATAAAATATCACGTGGTAGTATATAACCTATTATATAAATCTCGACACACATACAACAAGATTCTAAAAAATTGGCTATCTCCATTATTTAATTAATAAAATTCTTGTGCGCGTGTGTAATGTTTTTTTTTTTTAACTACATATTCATTCATTTATGACTCACCTAATATTCATATGATTTTTTTATTTTTTTATTTTTTACTGTTTTCACCCACCATATTCATTCATTTACGACTTACCTAATATTTAAATGCTCTCCCAAGTCACGTGGTGTAATTCCTGCAATCTACTAGGGTTGTAAATTTCGTTCAGACAACTATGCGCTTTAACAATGAACGGTCCAATCCAAACACGTTTGACACTGGTCTTTTTGTCCCTTTTTTAGAAAATTAATATATTAAATGATACGTGAAAGTTACGCTTGATCACGATAAATGTGACGAGAGAGGAAAATATATGGATAAAACTAGGCTATTGAACTTCTTATTATCAACCATTTCACTTCACTATTTTTGCAATTTTTTGTTTTTCTTGCTTATGCTAAATTTATGGTAACGTAAGTTCAAGTAACAATAAGAGTATTTAATATTTATACTGTTCTATAAGAAAACAAGTTTAATTTTCTCATTAATAATAAGATGTACATGTACGAATTGTTATTTATTGGAGAAGACAAGGGGAAATATGGATTATGGAATTAGATTTTTCACGGATTATTTATATTGTTTATTTAAAATTATATCTAATCGTGCTTTTATAATTCTGTCACCTTTACTAACCATAGTAATTTAATTCTTTGGTCCATCAGATAATTTCACATTTGAAATAAAAACTTACAATTCAAAAAGGACACATAATTGACTTATCATCTCATTTAAAAAGTTCAAACTAAATTTAAATATATTTAATTTAAATTTTATCTTTATATTATCTCGATTAATTTATACGTGTCATAAATTACTAGCCTAACAATTTATGTAAAATATAATGTAACTTTTGTATAAAAAAAAAGAAAAGAAAAAAAAATGCTCATATAAATACAATATTAAGGCAAATAGAAAATTAATCCTTGAGCTCAGAATATCTATTGAAACGAAGAGAAGTCTATCACTTGGCCACTTGATTGGGACTAAAGCCTAATGTATGTGGAGTGTGGACACACTATTTGAAAAACATGTCTATTCAATGCCTAACTCAATCGTCGTACCAAAAATTCGTTACATATTAACATCGTTCTAGACGTATACGACATTTAAGTCAAGGAACAAATGCATAAAATCAATACTAAGAAATTATGAAAGTATTCATGTTCAAGTACAAGTAATCATCAATGTTGTATTTCAACAAGCCTCTATTGGAGATGGTTCTCAAATTGTGATACCATTCATGCAGAGAAACTTACTCGACGTGAAATTTCAATATCTTGAAATCCATACAATCATGAGGGTCGTTTCATGAGAACTTTGGTTACTAATTGCATCGTTGTTAAATCACCAACTTCCTTGATATTTTTTATTGATAGACAACGTTCTTAGCCCCTGTTTGATGGTCTTTATTTGAAAAAATAAATATTTATTTTTTGAATAATGATTTTTAGAAAAAATGTGTGGTTAAAAAATAGAAAAGAAAAATTGAATTTACATGCAAAATAGTTTATTGTGTTAATGTATGGTTGAAAATGAGTGTATATAAAAAAAATCAAATAATAATTGTAGAATAGGGCTTAACATGTATGTAGGCGTAATCGAAAGTAACATGTAAAGTAACTATTATTCAGATATAACTTAAAACTTGTACTTTAAACATTGTGATAGTTGATATGAAAAATGGGAAATTATAAAAAA